AAATTATTAGTTTTACCCTAACTGTTTTTTCTTTTTTTTTAAACCAAATTAATTATTATAATTTTAAAGTTTCTTCCATTATTATTTATTTTTATTAGTTCTTGTTAGTTCTATCTACTTCCATAAACTACTATCATCTTATTCATTAGTTCTATGATGTTTGCTTTTCTTTCAAACAAAAAAGTGTCTTCACTCACACTACCAATTATAAGGGTTTTATTGATGAGTTTCATCTGTTCAATTATTGGTATTATTTTATTTTCAAACAAAAATAGAGTAAATGAAATTGTTCATGTATTAGACAAACTGAAAACACAGAGTCGTTACTCTATTTCACTTCCATCATTTTTATTTTTTAATATTATTGCAATTATTTTATGTTTTCCTTTATCTCTCCACCAAGTGTTAAGTGGGTATTGTCTTGGAGCAGGGATAGGTGCCATAATTAATGTAGTTGGAACAGTAATTGGAATAGGCATATGTTTTATGTTAAATAAATTAGTTAAAAAAATACATATTATTGCTTCAAAACTCCATCCTAATTTTTGTCAATGGGCAGAACAAGAAGGATTTTTTTATATCTTTTTAAATGTATTTTCTCCAAAATTGACAATTGGAATGTCTGTGTATCTTATTTCTAAAAATCATTACATTTCTTATCTAATTGCTATAGTCACTGCATCAATTATATTATCTGCTTTTTATTCTTATTCAGGTTCTTTGATTGACCCTTTTGCTATATTTATTATTGAAGGAGGTTTGTTATTTTTATTAAATTTTTATGAAAAGCAAAATATTAAAATAAATAGAAAATTATTATGTTTTAGTTCAACTAATAGTTATTCTTTTAATTAGTATTATTTCATTCTCAGGAACATTATATTGGTCTCATGGGTTAAGTACAAAAAATAAAAAGTTCTTTTCACCAAAAAGTATTACGGAAGAAAGACGTAATGTTCTAACAAGGAAACAATTTTCTTGTCTTGGATTATTAAAACAAATCTTTACTGCTTCAGAAGAGTTTGAATTGCCTGACAATGTCTCAGATGTTTCAAGTGTTGAATGTGAAACACAACAAGAATAAATGTCAAAAACTAAATGTATTAAAAAAAGTTTTGTAAAGAAATAAAAAATTATTGAAGTTTTTCATTGTAGTTTTGTTCAATCATTTCAACGACTTTATCAATTTTTGGTCTGTTCAATGGTTGTTGGTTCCATCCCATACTTACAATTCTGAAATACCAGTCAGGCATATCTTTTGTCTGAGGCATTCTATTTCCTTGAGAAATAAATTCTGCAATATTCCATGGAAATGGGAAAGTTTCTTTAGGATATGGTGCACTCCAAATAAAGGTTTCATACATTACAATGGCAAATGAAAACACATCAGCTTTTTCAGAATATTTTGATTGGTCAAGAACTTCTGGAGCCATGTACATTGGTGTTCCAATACCCTTTGTAAATGTCATATTACTTCTCATCATATTAACATTTCTTGATGAACCAAAGTCTGTTAACTTAGCATTAACTGGAATACCTTTATCAACTGAAAAAACTAATACATTATCAGTCTTAATGTCTCTATGCATTATACCATTAGTATGAAGGTATTGAATTCCTTTAGCACAGTCAAGTACAAACTTAATTCTAAGGTATTTGTCTAATTTCTTTTTCTTATTTATCATACTCATTAATGATCCAAATTTTGCAAATTCAGTCACCATACATATCTTTGTTGGAATAAATACAGCCCCATAAAAATGTACAATATATTCTGACCTAAACTTATCTAACATATGTACTTCTTTCTCAAATTCTTCCATTTGTTCATCGTCATCTGGAATCTTCATTACTTTAATGGCAACTGAATTTCCTCTAAACATTCCTTTATAAACAGTTCCAAATGATCCTTCCCCAATTTGTTTTTCCATAATTAATTCATCATAATCAAGTCGTGTTGACATTTGTGTTTCTGTAATAAGTAATACATCTTCATTAACAATAACTCCTTGTTTGAAGTCTAAAGAAACTAATTGAATACTTTCAGAAATCTTACATGTACAAACTGGTTTAATTGATATTTTAAATTCACACCCTTCTCCTTTTGTTAATATAGCCATCTCTGGCTCAACTCTAACTTGAAACTTCGCCATATCATCTTCTTTCACAGTAAATTGAATTTTTAACTTTGATTTACCACCATTACCAACATTTATAGTATCAGTACTTTCTTCTCCAACTGGAATCATAAGTTCATCTTTATTTTTATCAAAATGAAGTTCTTTTTTGTCAGTAACGACATAGCTCCTTCCTGTTAATGGCTCAAAAATTATGTCTGTGTCTTTCATAAAAAAATAATGAACATTAGCTGGTCTTTTATTTTGATTTGTTTTCTTAATAAAGTACCATGACAAACTAACAACACCTGCTATAATTAAAATAACTATAATACTTCCTAAAATACATATTAGTACTATGAACCATACTACTGGTTGTTTTTGACAATATGTTCCACTTGTTGAAACACTATACCAAAAATCACATTTGCTACATTTTGAGTCAGTGGATTTAGAGCAGTGTTCAATAGTTCTATAATGTACACATTTATCTTCTACTAATATATAATTCTCTTCACAGGAATAACAAGAAATTAATGAACAAGATGTACAATGTTCTATTACTTCAAGACAAGATTGACAATAAGGTGTTTTGAGAATATATCCATCTTCACATAAAGTACATCCATTTGGAGTTTTAGTCTTACACGAAGTTAACATGTCATATGAAATACATTGTCTTCCATTATATAAAAAGAAATTATCTTCACATGAAATACAACTACTTCCATCCAAACATTTCGTACAATTCTTTATACATTCTTGACAATCAACGTCTTTTCTGTAAAACCCATCTTTACAAATAGCACATCCAGTCCCTGCTTTCATCATTTGAGTACATTTAGCATTAAGAATATCATCACTTTGACATATTGATTTTGTGCCATCTCGTTGTAGTGTGTGTTTATCGTTACATGAAATACAATAATACCTATCACCAAAACATTCATAACAGTTAGAATCACATGGTAAACATTCTCCATTAGACAGATAATATCTCACATTACATTTAACACATCTTCCCTCAAGATACTCAGTGCATTGGTTTTCTGGTTTTGTTGAAGTACATAATCCATTTATAAGATAACTATCATTCTCACATGTAATACAACTTGTTGAATTATAACATTCTGTACATTTTAATGGACAATCAACACAGCTAGAACCATCAAAATATTTCCCAGAAACACATTTATAACAAGTTGAATCTTTTTCTAATGAACAACCTGTTTTATCAATACAAATTCCATTTGAATTGATAATATATGAATCACTACAACTAAGACATTCTGTTGTTGTACATTTTGTACATTTTAACCCAAAATTTTTGTTGCATTCCTTGCATGTTCCATCTTCATTGAACCATCCATCATTACATTGAACAACACCATTTGGTGATACAAGAGAGGCACTTGGCTGTTTGACACATTGACCTGAAGACAGCACATAACCATCACTAATATCACAAATTGAACACCCCTCTCTATTATTTGTGTTACATATTCCACACCCTGAATGGAGTTCTGAACAATACATATTACAACTTTGTTCATCTGAACTATATTTTCCATCTTGACACTTTCTACACATTCCCATAATATAATTTGGACATATCTCTGATGAAACTGACTCACACCTATTTGATGACCCAACTTTATATCCATCTTCACATAGCATACATTTATTAGGAGCTTCTGAATTGCATTTTTTACAATTAGTAATACATGATACACATCTTTGTGATTGTAATGCCTTATCTTCTAAGTAATATCCTTCTTCACACTCAATACAATTCCCAGATGTTGAGTACTTAACACAGTTAAGGACAATTGGTCGTTCTGGACAATCTCCCTCAACTGATTTTCCTTCTCCACATTTTAAACATTTTACATTTCCAGTGGTAATGTACATATCAGTACAATAAGATGTCTCATTTATAATTATATTACTTGATGCACCTGTTTTCATGGTAGTTAGTGACAATCCACCATGTGCAACAGAAATGATATTTTTTTCATTAAATTCAATTGTTTGTCCTACAATTCCATCTAAATAAATGTAGTTGTTTTTTCCATCAATTATAAAATGGTCTGTTGATTCCCCACTTGTTGTAATAAGTTTAAAATTCTGAGAGCTTGCTTTTAACGTAGCACTATTAGAAATATATAATTCTTCAATGTCATTTATTGTCATTTGTGTACTTCCTTTTGCTAGAATGATTGAACATTGACTTTGACTAGATGAACATGGACAAGTAAAATCAACATCTTTATTGGCATCAACGTAATTTCCTTCATTTGTTTGAATACATTGTCTTTGGTAAAGGTTCATTGCCATACAATTTTCTTTTGTGACTGAGGTTTGTCCTTCTTCCATAATAACAATAGCTTGTCTATCACAACTAAATTCAATTT